TTTTCCAAAGCATTACAGAGGCAACAAAACACAGAGCTCTGAAGAGGGACCGTTTGTGCTTACATAATCAGACAGAGCAAAATCAGATTATGATACATGAAGTTTGACAAAAGGACAACTTTACAAACCACCTTCACTTTAGATCAACAAGAAACAAGTGAACTTCAACACTTCAACTTCGCTGAACAGCTGTTGCCAAAAGTGGTCATTAGAGGAAAATAAATAAACGTATACCCCTTATTCACTTCAGCTGATTTAAAAGGGATCAGTTCTGCCCATTTCCACTTCCAGGTTTTCATTTTTTACCACTGGGCCTTCCTGCACCTCCTCATCCTCCCTCTGAAACAAGGCATTTTAACTTCTCCGCCTTTATGGCTACTATACATTTAGATCAATTCTGCAACACCCCACTTCAAACACAGCATTACAGTTGGCACCTCACATGCTCTACAACTTATTTATATATTTATAGAACTAAGCATGAAAAAAAATCCTATTAATTTTTCTGCAAAAATAAAGGATGGTGTCAAACTTCTATTTTTCTCTACAAAACTCATTTACTTCACTCAACTACGCCCTACATTTTTTACTTATGTCATGGACTCTGGGTTTTGTGCCTGAGCTTTTACTTTGTATTGATATTTGGACTCTTCTTTTTTATAGTTTTGGTTCATTTCTAGTCAAGTTTGGATTCTGACGTTATGGTGTTTGTTGAGTTTTGTAATCTTTGTAATCTTTATATATCAGATTTTTTCTGGATTTTCTGGGTTCTTAGTTTTTGTTATGTGTTTGTGATTCGATTTGGAGTTTATATTTAATTCACTGAGTTTCAGTTTATGGTGGCGGGTGTGGTTCTGAGCCTAACATGACCATGTTCGTGTTATCACCTCTCAGTATACATAATATAAAGATCCAAAATTGGAACAGGAGACTTTGAAGAAAAGGAAGAGAGAAGCGGGTCCTCTTTAATCGTGGCTCCAGAGTTGGGAGTTTGCCTTGTAATTGGAAGGTTGCCGGTTCGAGCCCCAGCTTGGACAATCTCGGCCGTTGTGTCCTTGGGCGAGACACTTCACCCGTTGCCTACCGGTGGTGGTCAGAGGGCACGGTGGCGCCAGTGTCCGGCAGCCTCGCCTCTGTCAGTGCGCCCCAGGATGGCTGTGGCTACAATGTAGCTTTCCATCACCAGTGTGTGAATGTGTGGGTGGATGACTGGATGTGTAAAGCGCTTTGGGCTCCTTAGGGACTAGTAAAGCGCTATACAAATACAGGCCATTTACCAAAAAAAGTAAAGCTGTAACACAAATTCCCTCCACGAGCATTCACAATGAAGCAACTTTGTTTTCTATTGTGTGTTCATTTAAACTTTATTTTTTTTTTAAAAGTAAAGAGATTTATGTTCACTTTAAAAATTACACATTATAGATTTTCTCACAAACACATTTAAAAATTTTCTATACACGCTGAGAATCTTTTATAATGCTTGCATAAGGTTTCGTTTGTATAAAAGCAAATAACGTGAATTAGAAAAACCCTTTAGAAAAGTTAAGACTTAACAAAAAACAAACAAAAAAAACCACAACAACATTTAAGTCCACAGTTCTTGAATATCAGTGGATCCAGAAAGGTTCCCTGAGGGACGCCCTCAGGAAATTTTTCATTATAGAAACCTTAAACCTGCAAAGAATTTCTTAAGAGAATATACATTTTCTTGAGTCCATTAATAAAAAGAAAAACAAATACTTGAGATGAGAAAGTGATCATTTTCTTCTTCTTTTTTTTAAGTATACCTGAAATTTCTGGCAGCTTCCTGCAGACAAATCTGCCAAATGACAAAGATAATTAAATCTTATATTAGATACTTTAAATGTATTTAAATCCATTAAATCTGTTATCAAAGTTAATTCTAAATCTATTTTAGAGGTGTAAAATAGATTTAACTGAAACCACAATTAGCTACAGTGGCCTGATCACTCGATCATGACTGGATCATGAGATGAAATGAATCACACTAAATGTGCTATGCTTCCAGTTCATTTATTACCTCAATGTTTAAACATGACAGCTTCGACAGTACGACAAGTTGGAACCATAATGCAATACTGGGGATGTTTCTATCCCGATTTCCGTTTTGGATTCAGAATTGTTCCACCCCATAATATATTTACCAAGTCTACTCTGTGTCAGGGTTCAAGTTTTTCTCTTTACTTTGTATTTTTAGCACAAAGAATAAATCACAAAGTGTTTACATTCTGAGTTATTACAAAAGGATGCAGCATATTTTCAGGTAGAGTAGCTTTAGAACTGCTTTCTGAAATCATAATCCTTGTACTAAAATACTGGTTAATCATTTCACTGTTTTTATTTGCTGTGTTCCCTCTGTTAAAAAGAAATGTGCATTTTTTTCTCTTCTTTTTAACAATTTCATGTCCCTGATAACGTTAGAAATGTATACAAATCTTAAGTTCTTTGAGAAAAGAACAAAAGATAAAAACATTTTTAGAAACCATTTTATGCATACAAAATATCTAAAGAGGCACTAATGGCTCCTTAACTACAAATGGTGTTTTTACTAGAAAAATACTTCAGCAATCATAAACGCTAAGACTCTGATAATCCACTGATAATCCACTGATAAGTTTTGAAAATGTAAAAAACTAAAAATAAAACAAGCAGTCAACTGAAAACAAAAACCAGCTTCATCTTCAGCAGATTCAGCATGCTATAATCTGTCATTTCAGATTTCTTTAATGAGATCAAAGCCCCAAAATAGAAGTTTTGCCTTAAATTTGGAGGGTCAGCACGTGAAACCTTTATTATTTTCAATGTTAAAAAAAAAAGAAGCA